ATAATGGCATGGCTCATCTTATTTGGGTCCTCTCTTTCACTGGTCACTTTCCCATGCTGCTTGCTATCCAGTGTTTGAGAACTGCTTTTTGATATATTTTGTCAGGTTTTTTAGTTGTTTTAGGCATTGGAATAAGTTGGTTCCTGTTAACTCCTTTTTGCCTGGATGTGGAATGTAGTAAGTGTATAGTATTTTGCCTCAAAACTAGAAGTGTGTGTGTGTGTGTGTGTGTGTGTGTGTGTGTGTGCGTGCATTTCCCCCCCTCAAAACTAGGGAAATGTGTGCATTTTTCATTGGAGAACATAATGGCTTGTGGTTTTTCTGTATGTGAGCTCATGATCTTTGGTGTCCAAAAGTTAATTCATTAACAGTTTCAACATGGTAATTATGCCAATTCAAGTTTTCTGGGAAGTAGGTGCCATGATAAAAGTAGAAATGGCAGAGATTTATGGAGGAAAAGCTCACATAGGCTAGAGAGTAAAGCAATCAAGAATACACCAGGAGAGCCTTAGGATTTTACTACACATCTGGCATCAGTGAGAGAACAAAGAAAGAAGAAAAATTGACTAGGAAAACCTCATACTTCGTACTGCCTTGCAGTCTGAAGTAGTGTCTGTCAGGCTAATGGGAGACCCCAAAGCAATACCGTTCTTTTTTTTTTTTTTTTNAGCTTATAAAAAATTGTTTTAAATACTGATATCTAGGTCCAGCCCATGGAGATTCTGATTAAATTGGTTTGGGCAGCAGGAATTTTTAAAGCCCTCCAGGTGCTGGTAAGTGCAGGGCCAAGATAGAGAACTAGTTTTAAGTGGTGGTTAAGTACTTATCAAATAGAAAAATTTTTTTTTAATATTTTTATTATTTATTTCTAGGAGAGAGAGAGAGACAGCGTGAGCAGGTAAGGGTCAGAGAGAGAAGGAGTCACAGACTGAAACAGGCTCCAGGCTCTGAGCTGGCAGTCAGCACAGAGCCCGACGCGGGGCTCGAACCCACAAACCGCGAGATCATGGCCTGAGCGAAAGTCGGACGCTTAACCGACTAAGCCACCCGGGCGCCCCAGCAATACCGTTCTTTAAGGATGCCATGTCACAGAAATGGTTCAGTTCTAGTATCTCTGCTGTTCCCAGTCATTGGCAGTGGTGTGGACACTACATTTGATCTGGACGCATGACGGTAGTTAGTGAGGCACTTAGCTAACTACACTGTTCGCAGCAGGTTCTCTCTCTTAGACGCCACATTGTTTTACTCTTTACAGTAAAATCCATTATTCATCAGGAATTATTACGTGTTTAGTGTTAAGATCAGTTCACTTTTCCATACTGACAGTCTATTGGTCTGCACCAGTGAGTGAGAAGACTCTTTTTCTCCCCACTGAGTTGCAGTGATGCCATTGTAAACCAGGCGGCTATAGAGGTTATGTCCTTCCCTTATTCTGTCTTCTTTGGTAATATCTATTCTGAACTCTGTGTTTGTCATTCTTTTTCTTTTTCATTTTCTTTTTTAAGTTTACTTATTTATTTTTGAGAGAGAGAGCTGGGGAGGGGCAGAGAGAGAGAGAGTGAGAGAATCCCAAGCTAGTTACATGCGGTCAGCATGGAGTCCAATGTGGGGCTGAATCTCCTGAACCCTGAGATCATGATCTGAGCCGAAATTAAGAGTTGTATGCGTAACTGACTGAGTGATCCAGGTGTGCCATCATTTGTTTGTTTTTCTACGTCAGGAGTTGACACACTTTTTCTGTAAAGGGCCAGATAGTAAATATTTAGCCTTAGTGATCTATGTGGTCTCTGTCTCACTTACTTAACTCTACCACTCTAGTGTGAAGAGTCAATGTATAAATTAATGTACATGGCTATGTTTTAAGAAACCCTTATTTACAAAAATAGGCAGTGAACCAGATTTGGCTTGCAGCTGGTTTACCAACCCTTGTCCTGTATAGTTTAATGCATACTTGTGTTTTAAATAATGTTCAGTGTTATATGTATTTGGAACTTTATATAAATGAGCTAATTCTATGCGTGTTGCATCACTTGCTTTTTTTGCTCAATATTATGTTCATGAAATTTACTTAGTTGTACATAGTTATATGCCATTTATTTTCAGTGATAGTTCAATCAGAATTTAGTCAGTTATTTTAACTGAGCATGTTTAATATAAAGATCTGCTAAATTGGTGCCAGAGAACTGAAGAGGCAAAGAGACCTCATCAGGATTTCAGTAACTGCAAGCAACAGCTCCCATTGCTAGGAGAACAGCCAGAGCAAGTTGGAATTATTAACACCTAGAAGCTTGAAGGAGGGGCCCATTAGAGCTGGAATCTGGACTTGGGAGGATGGGGAGCCACCTCTCTGGTACTGCCGTCCCCGAGGAGACATGCTCAAGGCTGGCTCTGCCAGGGCCCGGAGGGCTATAAACTGCAGCCACAGTGCGTGCCATGGCACTCACGGTGCGTGCCATGGCACTCTGGCTGGGGGACATGGTGGAACCAGGACATGAATAGGGAGGATTGTGTCTTTTCTTCTGACAGCCTCTGGTCTCCCTCTAGTTCTCCCTGTTCGCAGATTTTAACAGAGGGCCATGTGACAAAGAAGTGCGGTTTCTGAGTCTCAGCCCCTGCATCACAAAGCAGAGCTTGGAAGGGTGGGTTTGAAGATGAAAGCCAATTAATGGTATAACAACCAGTGCCTAGGGAATTCCATTGTATACGTATACTACAGTTTGTTCTTTAATTGACAGCATTTGTATTTTCAAGTACCGTAAAACCAGTGCTGCTGAAATTCTTGCCCACGTGAAGGGGTTTCTCTTTGTTCTACTCATGCCACCGCTACTCAGATGTCTTCTCAGGTGTTTTCAGCAACTTCTTCCATTGCCAAATGGAGTGACTTCTTTCACATTCTGTGTAGTATTTTTGTTCCTTAGCACCATTATCCACAAACTCTCCTTGAAACATTTCCTTTTCTCCCACAGTATTATATCCTTCTGATTCTTACCTTGTCCTTTCAAATACCGATTTTATTATCTTGTATTTGTAGATGATTCTTCAAAAGTAATTTTCTTCTTAATTTTAAGGAAAATTTAGAACATAGAAAAGTATAAAGAAAATAAAAATCTAAACATCATAATACAGTATGGCTGAAGTTTTTTCTTAATTTTTTAAATGTTTGTTTTTGAGAGAGAGAGAGAGATTGAGAGAGAGCAGGAGCATGGGAGGGGCAGAGAGAGAGGGGGAGACACAGAATCTGAATCAGGCTTCAGGTTCTGAGCTGTCAGCACGGAGCCTGATATAGGGCTCAACCACACAGACCGCAAGATCATGACCTGAGCCAACGTCGGACGCTTAACTGACTGAGCCTCCCAGGCGTTCCACAGTATGGCTGAAGTTTAAATCTTTTATATTTTTCTCTTACTTGAGAGCCAGACTCACATTTCCAACTTCTTGCCTAAACATTTTTGTATGACTATCCTCCTGGCATCTTAAGTTGACCATATCCAAAACCAAACTCATTTCATTTTTCTACCATCTCCTTTATCTAATTTCCTTTTTCTCTCCATCTGTGACTCAGCATTTCCCCTCTATGACTATCAGTATTTCCAGGATTCATTTTAGAGGTCTTGGAGTACCCTTGGCAACCTGAAGAAATTGGACTAATCTACTTTGTAGTGAAGAGCCAAAAATTAAGTTCTTCATTAAGAGCAACCTCGTGCTGCACGTACCCCCAGTCCCAGTCCCAGAAAAAGCCTCAGATTGTTCAAGGCTAAAGCCATCCTCGGACCGCCCTCAATTTAGCTAATCAAAAAGAAAAAAAAAAAAAATTCCTATGGTCTGAGTCAAGATTGGGAACTGCAGATACAAACTAGCCAATTTCTCACCATTGCCTGAACCCCACGTGGGCCCTTTGAACTCACCTCATAATTGGTCATTTTCAAAGGATTCTCAAGAGTCATGATTGGGTCTCACCAAAAGTAATGAACACCTCACAGATACTGAATGGTCAAAGCTGTAATTGTAATTGGTGCTTATGTGATGATGCTACATGTACTGTAACACCCCATCCCTTACTCCTTAAAAACCCTGTTCGCTATTGTTCTTCGCTTCACCTTGCTGCCATGACACCGGTAGGCTGGTGAGCCCCTGCTCGAGCTTGTAATAAAGACCCTTTTGTATTTGCATCGGTGCTGGCTCCTTGGAGGTCTCTGGGACTCGCGATTCGGGCACAACAGTGGTTGTCCAAATTTTCCTTCCATTTACATGACTCCATAAGTTGCTTTAAAGATGTGCAAGTACTTGATGTACAAGCACTGGGAGAACTTCTTATAGCACAAGAGAGGGAGAGGATAGTTCAGTGGTTGAGAGCATATACTCATTTTGATACTTTAACTGTTGGTATCCTAGACGAGATATGTACCCTCACTGTTAATAGAAATAATACCTGCCTAACAGCACTGTTGTGAAAGTGAGATGGATTCATAAATCTAAAGTACTTTTAATGTTCCTGACATTCAGTAAGCACTAGGTACGTGTTAACTGTTGTTATTATTTTTCTTTGGTCTAGTACCCATTGGAATGAACTTTAGGACATACTGAGAGTTTAGCAACTGGTGCCTCTGCTGCCAACCTTAGTGTGTTTTTAAACAGCTTAGGGGCTGCGACATAGGAGAAATTCTCAGTATCTTCCATTAGGAGTTTGTTTTGAGACATTCACCAAGGGAAAGTTGTTTCCTTAATATTCCCTGATGTTTAAGCAGGGACATTTCTGCCATTTCAGTTCTTCCTGTGTGCTTCCGTGTATAAATATTATGATGTCCCCTGTTAGACAGACAGTTCCTTAGCCTGTTTTGAGTTCATAGTAGATTTGAATGAAACAGGTAAAGAATGTACCTCCAGAGAAAAGGTATCTGAGAAATTTTACCTCCTGTACTAATTTTAAGAGATTTCTCATAAAGTCTTAAAAGTTGTTTTCAGCCAAAGTTTAACCAAAAGATTTTTTTGTTTTGTATTAGAATTTCTGCAGGGGAGGAATAAAGAGTGCATCATTGAAGGATTTATGTCTCGAAGACAAAAGGCGCATTGCAAATTTGATTAAAGAACTGGCCAGGTGAGATAAAATCTTATATGAAATGTATTATTATATAAGAGAGACAACTTTTTGAGAATAGAAATGGAATATGTTTTGATGTCATTGTATCATTGATCTTATGGAAGCAAAGACTTAGAGAAAAAGGTTTTCTGTGGCCTCAAAAAAAGAAAGACCAGAACAAACCACTTCCCAATTTACAGTTTCTTGTTTATTTAACTTCCCAAATTGTTTGGTGCACATATCTGCAGTGGTTCTCTTATCAGGAGGGAAAATGGAGGTGAGCTCTTGCTGTTGATGTAGGTTGATCTGTTGTAATCATTGCCTTAGCAGCTATCTTTGGTTTTGTTTTAGCATCTGCCCAGAAATGAACATTCACTTTATTCTGTAGTTCATCGTAAGAATATCTACTGTCATTCTGCTAACTCCTGATGCTTTCAAGATTCACAGTAAAGGATTTTGAATTTTGAAAATGATAGTTCATAACTATTCGGTTTTAACATTTCAGTTTATTAATGATATGTATGAAGCATGTCTACTTGGAGTGACTTGTCAACATACACATCCAATTTTGGGGTCTTAAAATAATAAATGAAGATATCTATAGAGGCATGTATTAATATAAATTATAAAGGTCAAATTTAAGGAAAGGCCATACCTAAAAGTTGATTAAAATAGTACTAGTTTTTGTCTTTGAATTGCATGTTTGGAAATAGTAGATCTTATCCATCTTTACTTTAAATTAAAATTGACTACATGAAGTGTTTCAAAATGTATTTCATGTCAATTTCATAGAATAATGTTTGTGGAAGCTTTTCTAAAAAGACTAAAGTTAAAAAATTACCTTACTAGGGGTACCTGGCTGGCTCAGTTGGTTAAGCGTCTGATTCTTGGTTTCAACTCAGGTCACGATTTTATGTTTTGTGGGATCAAGGCCCGCACTAGGCTCTGTGCTGACAGTGCAGAGCATGCTTGGGATATTCTCTCTCTCTCTCTCTCTCTGCCCCACCCTCACTTGTGCACGTGTGCATGCATGTGCGCATGCTCTCTCTCTCTCTCAAAATAAATAAATAAATTTTTAAAAATTACCTTACTAAATCATAGAATTGCAGTTATAAAGGATAGCATCAGTGATGCCTCAGGGTCTAGGATACAGGGTATGAGAATTCAGAGTACATACCTCAGTCTGAATTTGATATGCCACCTGAGATAAGCAATAATTTTTTTCAGTAGAATTCTTTGGCTGTTCTTCTAGTCCCTCAAGTAGAGTTTTCATCAACTTCAGAGAATGTTCTTTGTGTTGGGGAAAACATTAGTTACTCTCTATACTCACAGATGACCTTCTCACAAGGCTTTTTACCACTTAGATGGCTATGGCTATCCTTCCGTACACTTGATGGCATTGAAAACTATTACCGTTAGTTTGATTCCATGTATTAATGGTCCTGAGTTGCCATTATTATCCTAAGTGATCCATTGTAATACTTATTTATTTTTGAGACAGAGAGACAGCAAGACAGAGAGTGAGTGGGGGAGGAGCAGAAAGCAGGAGACACAGAATCTAAAGCAGGCTCCAGGCTCTGAGCTGTCAGTACAGAGCCCAGTGTGGAGCTTGAACCCATGAACCATGAGATCATGATCTGAGCTGAAGCCAGAACCTTAAGTGATGGGGCCACCCAAGCGCCCCCAACTGATCTATTTTATTTCAGTTGCCAGGCTTGGAGAACACCTGAAGTATTAGAGCATATTGTTTTGGTTTCAGCAACTTTCTGCTTTCCAGCAAAATGCTGGTTTCTTGGTAGAAGGTCAGTTTGTTAATACAGGGTATCAGAATAAATTTGCTTATATTGCTAGAAAACTCCATTATTACTGTATTGACCATTAATATACAGATATATGGGAATAACGTGTTCTTGGTTTCTTGAGTTTGCTAAGTTTCCCCTATTAAATATTTTATATTCAATAGAAAACATTTCTTTTTAATGTTTATTTTAGAGAGAGAGAAAAACAGAGTGTGAGTGGGGGAGGGGCAGAGAGAGTCAGAGACACAGAATCCAAAGCAAGCTTCAGGCTCTGCGCTGTCAGCACAGATCTCAATGTGGGCCTCAAACTCACAAACCTTGAGACCATGACCTGAGCCGAAGTTGGACGCTTAACCAACTGAGCCACCCAGGCATCCCTAGTCTGTAGTACTATTTTCTACCTGTTGCATTTCATTCCCTCCTCAAGTTTATTTATCTATTTTAAAAAATATAGAAGTGCAACTTACATTCAATAATATGTTTGCATTTTTTTTGAATATATATACGTTTTAAGTGTGTATTTCAGTGAGTTTTGGCAAATGTAAGGACATTTTTAAAAGTTATATCGAGGCCTTTTACAGTCTGTTTTTTCCTTCCAGATGGCCATTAATGTGATTTCTGTTATCATTGCTTAGTTTTACTTGTTCTGACATGTCATATAAATGTCCAGATAGTATGTGCCCTCTTCTGTTTGGCTTTTTTTCCCTCTGCAAGATTTTGTGTGTGTGGTAAAATGTATATAATGTAAAATTTACCAGCTTAACCATTTTTAAGTCTATAGTGGTATTAAGTACATTCATATTGTTGTGTAGTCATCTCCACAATCCCATTTCTAGAACGTTTTCATCATCGAAACCCTGTATCCCTTAAAAATAACTCCTCACCCTCCCCTCACCCCGAGTCCTTGGTAACCACTATCCTATGTGTCTTCCTGAATTTGACTATTCTAGATACTTCATACAAGTGGAATCATAGAATATTTGTCCATTTATATCTGGCTTATTTCAGAGAGTAATGTTTTTGTGATTGTTTTTTCAATTTGTGTGTAGGAATAGTACATTTTTTTAGTATTGACTGGTCTTCCATTGCTGGCCTGCACTTTAATTTGCTTAGATCTTCATCTGTTAATGGACGTTTAGGTTGTTCAAGTTTTTGCCTTTATGAATGAAGCTTCTATGACATTCATGTACAAGTGTTTGTGTGGATATGATGTTCTAATTTTTCTTCTGCAAATAATTACATACAGAATTACTCAGTTATATCTTAAGTATACATTTAACCTTATAAGAAACTGCCAAACTGTTTTCTATCGTGTTTATTTCAACACTTCCACTACCAACTGATAATTCCTATTCACTAACTCTTGATACCGTCATTTCTTTAAATGCTAGCCATCCTAATGAGTATAGTGATATCTCCTTACGGAATTAATTTTTGTTTTCCTAAGATTAATACCATCATTGGTCATTCTTTTAAGTGTCTGTTAAAATCTTTTGCCTGTTTTTTTGACCCACCTCATTCCCTTCTTGATATTGTTGTGTTCTTTATATAATGTGGATGCAGGTTGTCAGATATGTGGTTTTCTCCCTCAACCTTGCTTTCTGATTATCTTAGTGTTTTCTTTTGTAAAGGAAGAATGTTTTTTTGATGAACTTCAGTTCATCAATTTTTTCTTTTGTAGTTCATGTCTTTAGTGTTCTATTAAAAGATCTTGCCCAGGGCGCCTGGCAGTGGGTTAAGTGCTCGAATTCTGCTCAGGGCATGATCTCACAGTTTGTGGTTTGAGCCCTGTGTCAGGCTCTGTGCTGACAGCTAGCTCAGAGCCTGACACCTGTCTTCGGATTCTGTGTCTCCCTCTTTCTCTGACCCTCCTCTGCTCACACTGTCTCTCTCTCTCTCTCAAAAATAAATAAGAAATTTAAAAGAATTTTTTTTAAAAAGATCTTGTCCGTCTCAAGATGTTTTTTTTTCCCTTTGTTAGAAAAGACTACACTTTCTGTGGAATTACATCTGCCTCCTTGTCAAAAATCAATTGACCATACATGCATGCTCTATTCCTGGGCTTTTCATTCCATTCCATTGATCTATGTGTTGCCTTTATGCCAAACTGACTTGATTACTGTAATTTTATAGTAAGTCTTGAAATCAGAGAAGTCCTACAGTTTTGTTCTTTTTGGAAACTATTTTGGCTTTTTGAGGTCCTTTGTATTTCACTGTAAATTTTAGAATTAGCTTGTCAATTTTTAAAAGAAAGTTGCCTCCTAAATTTTCTTTGGAGTGTATTGAATTTGTAGATCAAATTGAAGAAAATTGACATCTTCACATTATTGAGACTTTCAATCTGTGATAGGTCATATTTCTTTATTTATTTGGATTTTCCTAAATTATTCTTTCTGTAGTGATTTGCAGTTTTTATGGTACAGGTTATAAAATATGCACATTTGTTATCCTTAAGTATCTTATATTTTTGATACTATTGTAGATGGTATAATTAAAATTTTTATTATACATTTAATTTTTAACTTTATATAATTTCTCATATGATAAAACAATTTTTTAAGTTTATTGTTTATTCATTCTGAGAGAGTGAGAGAGCACACATGCACAGTGGCAGGGACAGAGAGAGAGAGGAGGGAATCCTAAGCAGGCTCCGCACTCTGCTGTCAGCATAGAGCCCCATGGGGAGCTGGAACCCAGGAACCTTGACATCATGACCTGAGCCAAAATCAGGCGTTGGATGCTTAACCAACTGAGCCATCCAGGCACCCCAGAATTAGTTCTTTAAATATTGACTTGGGCTCCTTCAAATTTTTTAATGTTTAATTTATTTTAAAAGAGAGAGCAAGTGAGTGAGCACTCACACACAAGCAGGGTAGGGGCAGAGAGAGAGAGGCTCTGCGCTGTTCAGTGCAGAGCTAGACACGGGGCTCCATCCCACAAACTATGTGATTGTGACCTGAGATGAAATCCAGAGTTAAATGCTTAACTGACTGATCCACCCAGATGGCCCCTCCTTCAAACTTTTTAAATCCACTTGTTATAATAGTTGTTGTTGTTGTTGTTGTTGTTTTTGCATAATACTTTGGATTTTCTGTATACAGGATCATGTCATCTACAAAGAAAAACTATTTTAATTTTTCCTTTCTATTTGTAGATACTTTGTTTCTTTTTCTTGCCCTTTCCAGTTGGCTAGAATCTCTGCTACAATATTGAATGAAA